GTGGCTCGCGGGGAGGTTAGGGTGGCGTGCGCGGAGGTTAGGGTGGCACGACAATGGTGCACACGCAGGGGTAGAAGAAAGTCACGTTGTTGTACATGATGGTGGAGGCCGCGTCAGAGGCAATGGTGGCAGGCGGAGGCAACGATGGCAGGGGGTCTTGTCGGAGCAGCCGCGGGTTGCACGGAAGAGAGGCTATTATGTATTAGGGTTTCTGCAACCCTATTTTATGTGTTGGGTGCCCAACCCGGGAAAGAAACTCGGGCCCAAACCAAAAAAGAAAAACAAAATGGCCCAAACCGAAAAAAATATAAAAAAAATGGTCCAAAATGGCGCCATGTTCGCCATTCACGCCATGGACCGCTATGCCTAACCCGCCTTAACGGCCGTAACGGCCGCCATCTTCAAAATGGCCGTAATGGCCGCCATCTTCAAAATGGCGGATCCCCGCCATACACAGCCTAAACAGCCATAACGGATCGTGGCCGCCGCCGCCATACCTTTATGGCGCCGATATGGCGCCGCCATAACGGCTATTTAACAACACTGGATGGACCGTAGAATTTGGTTTTTTAAGTTATAATATTTTGATTTAATATTTATATTTCTATTCATTGGTTGTGTTTTCTTGGCACCTGATAAGCACCCTAACGCTTGGAAAACCCTCCCTTAAAAGCTAGAGCTATCAAGGGGGGGAGAATGAAACACTTAAATATTCCACTGAGCATCCAATACAACTCCATCTGGGACTCAAGCACTGCCGCTAAGAGTCAATGTCTGCTGACACTTCACTCAACCTTTTTGGTCACCCCTTCGTAGGTAGTCTTTTCCGGGACATTAGCAACCAACTCTGCTACCAATTTATAAGCACTCAAGCACTTGGGGAACCCTCCCTTAAAAGTTACCTGTTAAGAGGAGAACCAAACACTTAAATTCTCTACTGAGAATCCCATACTTCTTGTGGGACTTAGGCACCCCATAATACCCAAGTCCCTATCAGTATCATCATGTCAATATAATTTTGATCATAAAATTAAGTTTTCTGCAAAACTAGAATAATCTGTTTGAACTGCATTAGTGATGTTTTTAGAATTCCAATGAAAGCAAAATTTCACACGTACTTTTTTTGAAGTTACATATATTTATGTTAGTGTATATGGGTTACAACAAAAAGGGAATATTTGTTTGTTAGTCCTTTTTGCTTTTTGCATTCTGTGATATCTTTAGGATATCTTCAGAATCTTTTAGTGGACAGTTGTCCTGCCACCTCTCTTGTTTTTCTCTCTCCGCTGGTTGCTTTTACAACTGTTTTCTCTCTTTTCTCTAGCTGCTGTATTTAGAAACGGTTCTCTATATATTCAGCACTCCTTGTATTCTTTCTACAGCAACAATGATAATAAAGCTTCACTATTACATTTTACCTCTTGATTTTATCTAACATGGTATCAAAGCCTTCTGATCCTGTACCCAGATCTTAATTTTTCTTCCTCATCTCTTCTATGGCAACATCAAATAATCCCTCCCCCTTTTCACAATTTTTCTCCAACTCCATAGCTGAAAAACTTGATGATTCGAATTATCTTCACTGGAGGCAGCAGATCGAACCCGTCATCAAATCCCACAAACTTCAACGGTTTGTGGTTAATCCGCAAATTCCACCCCGGTATCTAACCGATGCTGATCGTGATTCTGATATTGTTAATCCAGAATATGAAACCTGGGAGGTCCAGGATCAAATGCTTCTCACATGGCTGCAATCGACGCTCTCGAAGTCTATCCTTTCACGTGTCATTGGCTCCGTTCACTCTTATCAAGTGTGGGACAAGGTTCACGAGTATTTTCATACTCAAACTAAAGCTCGTGCTCGACAGCTCTGCACTGACCTGCGTTCCACCACTCTTGATGGTCAGTCTATGCGTGATTTTCTGACTCAAATCAAAACTATTGCTGATGAACTTGCTGGAGTTGGGAGTCCTGTGTCTCTTGAAGAATATGTTGATGTTGTTCTTGAAGGACTGCCTCAGGAGTATGCACCTGTGGTCTCTGTTATTGAAAGCAAGTTTTTCACTCCTCCTATTGCTGAAGTGGAAGCTCTTCTTCTTGCTCATGAGTCAAGAGCTAACCGGTTTCGTAAGCAATCCTTTTCTCCTTCAATTAATTACACTCAGGGTTATTCTCGTGGCAGTGTTAGTGGTGGTCACAGTGGGCGTCGTGGTGGTCGAGGTTCGGGCAGAGGCCGTGGTGGTCGTTTTGCTAATTTCCAGTGCCAGATTTGCTTCAAGTATGGCCATACTGCCAATGTTTGTTTCTATAGAGCTGATGTTAATTATCAACCTGCAGAATCCCTTGTTCTGTATGATCCTACCACACTGCAGCCTGTGCAGGTCACTTCTTCTTCAAATCTTAAAGGCTCCAACACTTGGGTGAATCCTAATCCGAAACAGCCCAGCCAGGAGGCTCGTGTTAATGTCACACCAAGTGCTATGGTTGCTAATACTTCTCAACCAGGTGCTAACTCTTCATGGATTCCTGATTCTGGTGCTTCATTTCATGTTACTGGTGAGCCTCAGAACATTCATCAACTTGAGCATTTTGATGGTCCAGACCAAATTTTCATAGGAAATGGTCAAGGTTTGCAAATCAATGGTTCTGGTACTTCCATTTTTATTTCTCCTATCAACTCTCAATTTAAGTTTCACCTGAATAATCTTCTCCATGTTCCTCTTATCACCAAAAATCTGTTGAGTGTCAGTAAGTTTGCTAAAGACAATTGTGTTTTCTTTGAGTTTCATGCTAATCATTGTCTTGTCAAATCTCAGGACACCAATGAGGTTCTTCTTCAAGGTGTTGTTGGTGCTGATGGGCTTTATTCTTTTCCTCATCTAAAGCTCCAAGGTCCCTCGGCATTGGTCTCTTCTTCAGCTCAAATACCCTCTCAGTCTGCTGTTTCACCTTCTGCAGTCTTAGATAGTTTCAATTTCAATAAAAATTCTGATGTATCTAGTTCTTCCACTATGTGGCATACTAGACTTGGTCATCCTAATTCTCATGTTCTTAAGCTTGTTCTTACACAATGTAACCTTCTCTCATCAAATACACATGTTACTGAATTTTGTTCATCTTGTTGTGTTGGAAAATCTCGTAGACTTCCTTCTTCTGCATCTCAAACTATATATTCTGCCCCCTTGGATGTAATTTTCACTGATTTATGGGGACCATCTCACATTACATCTTTTTCTGGTTATCTTTACTATGTTGCCTTTATTGATGCTTTCTCTAAATACACCTGGATATATCCCTTAAAATCAAAGGCTGAAACTCTATCTGTTTTTCAACAATTTAAGGCTATGGCTGAATTACAATTCAACACCAAAATTAAAAGTGTTCAATCTGATTGGGGAGGGGAATACCGAGCTTTTACTTCCTTTCTTGCCACAAATGGAATCCAACATAGAGTGATTTGTCCCCACACACATCATCAAAATGGTGTGGTTGAAAGGAAACATAGACATATTGTTGAAATTG